GATGTGGAGCTTCCAAAAAACAGGGCGGCAGGAGGGGGAAACCCACAGCTGGGATGAATCAGGACAGACTTTTCCAACCCACAAATCTCAGGGACAAAACTCGGCCCCGTTTTGCCGGCGCTCGCCCAGCCCCAAACCCCCAGTGGAGCCCAGAAGCAGCTCTCGGGGCATTGGATGGAGGAGGGAAAAGGTGGGCAAGCGGCTGCCACCCGGTTTCAGCAAGGATTTACCCAGGGAGGGGGGGGAATGTGCAGAGAAATAAATAATTGGTTCATCAAGAGCAGGGCTGGCCCTAGATGTGGTCAAGGGGACAGCGAGAGACGAGCCGGGAGGGGACCTGCCAATGGGAAAGCTGGTAGGAAAGTCAACCACGTCTAGTCCTGCCAGCTCCAGGTCTTTGAGAGGATGAAGATGGGGATGAAGGTGTGGGGAGGTGACGGCCGAGAGGGGGTTGCAGGGCTGGAAAGGGAGGAAGGTTTGGGGAGGAGGAAGAGGGGTGACCAGCGGCAGCAGCCGCCTGTCCCCAGGGGTCCTGTCCAGCTGCGTGGAGATCCCAGGGGACAAACCCATCGGTGATGTCCACCATCGTCCCCAGCCGTGCCTGTCTGTGAAGCTGGGGGTAAGGGGGGTGGCAGGACAGGGTCCCCCCCAGGATCTGCTCCCTGGGGAGGGGTTCCCACAGCATCCCAGCAGGACGAGCCCACAGAGAGGGATGGAGCCAAAAAGACCTGAAGGGATTTAGAAGCACGAAGCCTCCCCAGAGCTGGGGAGGGCGCAGACCTCCATACCTGGGGGGAGAGATTTCGGGGCTGAACACAGGGGCAGCTCCACTCTTCTGCCAGCGTGACCCCTTGGACCCTGCCCCGGGGGTTCTCCTGGCTCTCCCCCAGGTCTTGGCTTGTCCCCAGGTCCCTGCAGGGAAGCAAAACTCTTTGTGACAAGCAGGTGATGGGGCCGAGTTCTGCATCTTCCTCGTGACAGGGCTTGAAAAACCCTCAAACTGTGGAGGATCAGCCCAAAAGCAAAGTCACCTCGGCTGGTCCGTCGCCTCCACGGACGGACCGAGACGCCTCCAAAAACTCACTCCATCACGTGCTGAGCAGGAGAGGCACCGTCTCCCCCCCAGAAAAGGGGGTTTTATGAGGGACAAAGGTGGCAGAAAAGGGTTGCAAGGCTTGAAAACGCCATCCCACCGGTCAGCGGCAGCCCGGGGCTGGGTTTGCTTTGGGTGGGTGGTGGGGTTGTTTCTTTTTTGTTACAAACGCACATTCTCATTTCTCAGGCAGGTATAAATATTGTCGTTTCTAGTAGAAAACAAAACAAAAACAAAAACTTCCCTCTAAATAATATAAAGAAGACTCAAATGATTGCACTTAATACATATGAAAAAGGTAGAAAGGAGGATATTCCTAGTGCACAAATGTTTACTCCTGCTCTTCACAAAGCTTGCTTTTCCGAGTTACTCTTTGGCAGAGCTTGTAAGAAAGTCTGGTTCCTTGGCACGAGTGTCTGGGGGGGGAGGGGGGGGCAAAAAAAAAAAAAAACCAAAACCCGAACCCGGCTGCAAAGTCCTTCTCCTTCGCTCCCTGTTCTCTCCCGTGCAGCCAGACATTGTTCTCCGGGAACGTGGCTTGGCTGTGCTTCCCTCCCAGCGCCAGCGCGGCTCTCCGGAGCGACGGCCACCGGAGCCACCGCGGTTGCCGGTCCCTGGTGCGCTTTGCTTTGTCAATCTCTCCTTTAAATTCTCTTTTTCATCAAGTATGCTTTTGTCTAAAATTCTCCCCCCCCCGCCGATCTCCGCAAAGCGATGCCGGTGCCCACGACCCAGGCACTGCCATAAAATGACTCGGTTACCTTCGTGCCGTCCCCTGCGAAAGGGCTTGGAGGGGCTGCAGCCGTGGGCGGGAAGGACAACGACCCCCCCAGCGATGCCCCGAGGAACGGGGACAGACCTGGTGTCACAGGGGGGACAGAGGCCGGCGAAAGGACCAGAGCTTCGGTTTCTGAAGGAGAAGCTGCTTTGGCAGAGAGGAGCGGCTTCGCTGGCGGCGGGATGAGACCGGAGCATCCCCCCTCGCCCCGGCCGGGGGCACGGCTCTGCGGGGAGCGGCGGAGAAATGGTAGGGGGGGATGTCTGCGGGGTGATGAGAGGTGGCGGTCCTGCCGGAGCCGAGCGGAGGAAGGAGAAAATTGGAAAGGAGAAGGAAGGGAGAAGAGGTTTTCCTTGGCTGCGGGGTGGCCCGGGGGGGTGTGGGGGGGCTATTTGTAAGGCCGGAGGAAGCTGGAGACTTTGGAGCGCAGGAGTTTGATGAAGGAGCGGGGCAGCATCTCCTTGTGTTTCTCCGTGTACTTGAAGTAGTTCTGGGGGTGCGCCAGCACGTCGAAGAAAGCTTTGATGAGCTTCTTGTCCTGCGGGGAAGGCAAGGTGGAGGCGGGGGGGGGTCACCATCCCACCCCGTGCTCCCCTGAGGTGGCTCTGAACCAAAGCCAGGAGCTCAGGGGGGAACATGGGGGCACGATGGGGAGGATGCTCCTGCACGCCAGCATCCCCCAGAGACCCGGGAAGCGAGGACCCGGAGGGGATGCACTCACCTTGAGGATCTCCTGGTGGTTCTCGGAGGCGTAGAGCCTGCCGTCCCGCACGATGTCCTCCACCAGCTGCTCGTAGTCCTCTGCAACACCCAGATGAAAAATACCGTCAGGGCACGGGCTGTCACTTGTCCCCAAACCTCTGGTGCCCATCCCTGAGTCCGCTCCCCCTTGAACACACGGGAGGTGGGAATTGGGGGTGACCCGGGTACCGCAGCAGACAGGGGGCCACCAGCATGTCCCCCTGTCCCCCTTGCTCACCGTCGTAGGTGACGTAGGGGATCTGGAAGCCCCGGGCGCTGTTGGCTTCACTGGTTTTGAAGTTGATCCACAGTTTCCGAGAGCGGGCGGTGAAGGCGATGGGCCTCTCGTAGGTCTGGCACGTCTCGTAGGTGGTGATGGAGGACGGGGAGGCTGCGGGGGGGGTAAGGGGGGAACGGCGAGGGGCTGCGTGATGCTGGATGCCCAGCAGCAGAGCTGCCCCCAGCTCTACTGGGCTTAAATGCTCAGGGTGAAGGGGAGCACCAGGGATGGGAACTGTCCGTGTTTGGTGAAGGCTGACAACAACCTCACGTTACATATTGGGGATGTTATTCCTCTCTTGCTCTGGAAAGCTCCAAACAGGGCTTTTTAACCCCCAAAAAGGAGTGGTGAGACATGAGCGTGCCACCCCACCAATGCTTAGTCCATGCACATTCCCCTGATCCACCAAGGCACCGGGGTGGCAGAGTGATGCTGATATCCCTGCTCACCTAATTCCCAAAAATTCCCTCCTGACACCCGGGAATGCAGTTTTCTCCCTTTGGAGAAGGCAGCTCGGCCAAACCCCAGCCTGTTCCTCCCCCGGCTTCCCCCCTGCGCACCGCGGCACGCTCGGTTACCTACAGTTTTTCCGCATGACCAAGACGTCGCCGCACTCATCCTCGGAGGGGAGGAAGATCTCCGGCACCACGATGAGGATCTTGCGCTTGGGCGGGGGGTTGATGTTCCAGGTGCACTCAACGTTGGCGGGGTAATTCCCCGGGTAGTTGGGGGACTCAATGTAGCCCGTGTATTCGCCCAGCTCCCCCCCGCACTGGCGGTCTGCAAGGCACGGAGAGCTAGTTCAACTGGGAACCAGTGGCATGGGCACTGGGACAGGGAGGGGGGGTTACTGGGCAAGAGGGGTGTGCTCTATTAGCCCCACTCCATGCATCCCCCCCATACCTGCATCCATAAAGCATGGAAATGACCCCAAACTCTATTTTAAGGCATTTTAAAATACTTTTGAGGGAGGAGCCCAGTTCTCACCATGCCTGTACCACCCCCCGCCTCTTCCATCGCATCCCAGTTCACCTACTTTTGCACTGGGACACGGAGGTGGAGCCGTCGAAGTCGGTGGTGGTGTTGCCGGGACAGGCGATGCAGTAATTTTGCCGGAAATCGGGCTGGTAGGTGCCCACGGCGCAGCGGATGCAGCGGTGGACGCTGGTGTTGTAGTAATGCCCGGGGGAGCACTGGACTGGGGGGGTCAGAGAACAAGAGGAGGCTGTCAGCCACTGCCACGGCCCCCACGGGGTGTCCCCCTCCCCGGGGACTGGCTCCCACCTACCTTTGGTGTCGCAGTCCTGGAAGGAGAGGGCTCCCTCGTGGCGGGTGGTCAGCCCCCCGCCGCAGGGGAAGCAGAGCGCCCGCCCCACCTCGGGCTGGTAGGTCCCGCGGGGACACGGCTGGCAGGGCTTGAAGCCATCGGAGGAGTGCTGGCCGGGGGGACACTGACCTGCGGGCACAGGCACCCGGTGTGCCCCGGGCTCCCCCACCCCCAGCCCAGCTCCCCTCCCCCCAGCCCTGGCAGCACCAATAAATCCAGAACAAGCACTGCCCTTCCCAGAGTCCCCTCTAAATGCCCCAAATAGTGACTTTTAAGGGTCCTGGGGATGCTCAGGGGTTTTCCCCTCTTCTGGATGGGGGCTGACGGCTGATGGTTGAGGCTGCAGCCCTGGGCACGGTGCATGGACATCCCCAAGAGAATCATAGAATGATCAGAGTCAGAAGGGACCTTGAAGCCCACCCAGTGCCACCCCCTGCCCTGGGCAGGGACACCTCCCACCACACCAGGTTGCTCCAAGCCCCCTCCAACCTGCCCTTGAACCCCTCCAGGGATGGGGCAGCCACAGCTTCTCTGGGCAACCTGGGCCAGGCTCTCACCACCCTCACACCAAACAAGTTCTTCCCCACATCTCAGCTCCATCTCCCCTCTTTCAGTGTCAAACCCTTCCCCCTCGTCCTCGGGCTCCCCTCCCTGATCCAGAGTCCCTCCCCAGCTTTCCTGGAGCCTCTTGAGGGACTGGAAGGGGCTCCAAGGTCTCAACAGAGCCTTCTCTTCTCCAGGCTGAACCCCGCCAACTCTCTCAGCCTGTCCTCACAGCAGAAGGGCTCCAGCCTTCAGAGCATCATGCCCCTCCTGGTCCCCCCCGCCACCCCTCCGTGCCCCCCTTACCTGTGCAGCCGGTGATGTTGGTGGCTCCCACCGGTCCGAAAGCATCACCGCGGGGACACAGGTCGCAGGAGAGCTGCCCCTCCTTCTCCTGGTAGGTGCCGGGAGGGCAGGGGACACACTGCTCCGTCTGGCCGTGGTAATACGTTCCCTGCGAGCAGCTAACTGAGAGCCAGGGGGGACGTCAGTGACATGCTGGGGGAATTGTCACCTCTGGGGGGGACAACTGGCCGGTCCCCCACCCCAGGACACCCCGCGATGCTCCTTACCACACTTGCCACCCAGGCGCTGCTGGCCTGGCCCACAGCTCTCCTGCCGCTCCGGGGCCACGCTCAGCTTCCTCGCCACCTCGTACTCCATCCCCGCGAAACGCAGCAGGAACCGCTCCTGGTTGATGGATTTCTTCAGGGCTTTGATGGCTGACTTCAGCTTCTTCTCCACCCTCTGCCGCAGGCACTGCAGGTTGCAGCCAGCTGGGGGGGGCAGGAGGAAATGGGGGGGTTCAAGGATGGAGAGGGTAACCTAGCAGGATTAAAACCATCTCCCAGATGCTCAGCTACAAGTGCTGCCCAGCACATCCCAGTATGGTGAGGAATGAAGACTGGTTTGGCTTTCCTTGCTTCGTGGGGATGGCATTGTCCCCCTGGTCCCACTGCCCCCCCGGTCCCATCACTGTCCCCCCTGGTCCCATCACTGTTCCCTGGTCCCACCACCACTCCCCTGGTCCCATCACCATTCCGTGGTCCCACCACTGTCCCACTGGTCCCACCACCCCTGTCTGCACCCGAGACGTGTCAAGCCAGCGCCGTGCCCACCTGTGATCTCCTCTGGCTTGATCTCTGCCTCGAACTCCAGGGTGATGCGTGTCACCTCCTTGTTGGAGGAGTTGCGAGCCCGGCGGCCCTTCCCCTTCTTGGACGAGTCACACTTGAGGTTGACGAAGGCAACCTGGCAGTCGGAGCAAGGCGCCGACCCGCCTGCGCGTGGGGGGACAAGTCAGGACCCCATCCCTCCCGGGGGGACGGGCATCCCTGGCATCTCCCCGCCGCCATCACGCCTCACCTTGCACCCCAGCCTTCCCAGCCTCCTCCTGCTTGCCCTTGGCCCGCGGGTGCAGGTGGCACTTGGCATCCTTGATCTTGAAGGAAGCCTTTTGCTTGACTGGGGCAGTGACAGTCTCTAAAAGAAAAGGTGGGTGCTCAACCACCCCGGCGTGGGGCAGCCTGGCCGGCGGTGGCTGTGGCCACCCCGGGAGCCCCCTTACCGAGACACTGCTGGCTGCTGTTGGCGGGTCTCTGCTGGCCACCCTGCCGCAGGACGGGGGTCCCACAGCTCACCGTGTAGCTGCTGTCGGACTCTGTGGGATGGAGGAACGGGAGTCGGGGGATGCCGGAGCGACCGCCCCGTCCCCACCATGCTCTGCTGGATGATGCAGGGAGGGATGGCTGCACCATGAGGGATGATGCTCAGCTCCCCGCTGTGGGGATCCTGCACCAGGGACCCATCCCATGGATCTACACCTCCCTCCCTCGCCATGGCCACTGCTTGGGTGGGCTTCACCCTGGCCGTGCAGCCGCTCCTCTCCCCCCCACCCCAAGTCTGGGTCGTGCAGGGAAATGGGGACCCCCCTGCCCGTGCCAGCGGTGGCACCGGTGCTGGTACCTGGCAGAAAGCGGGCCTTGGAGGCGCAGGTGAGGGCACAGCTGTCCTTCTTGCCCGTCTTGTTGCAGGTGAGGGTGGCCCGCGGTGGCACTGAACCTGGCAGGCATTTCACCAGCTCTGAGGGACACGCGCCGGCTGGTGATGACAAGTGGGGAGCCCGTGGCTGGCACAGCCTGGGGACACGCAGGGGACCCCTGCGCCCTCCCAGGTCACGAGGGGATTCACCAGGGAGTAGAGGGTGCCAGAGCACGACATAGGGACCCTGGACCCCAACCCCCCCAGCTCCTCCTTGGAGATGTCAGACATGATTAATGGCTTTCAATTTTTTGGTGGAGGGAGCAGTGGGGAGGGCACAGCCAGAGCCACGAAAACAGCCCCCTTAGGGACACTTGCTAGTGCAAAAGTTCACGGCCGGCCCTGAGCATGGTCAAAAAAGCAATGAGATGACCAAGGGCAGAGGGAGCAGGACAACACCCTATGGCACTTCCCACCCAGACCCAGGTGAGATGGACATGAGACCCCAGCCCAAAGCAAGCCCACCCCAGAGCATCCCTGCACCAGGATGCCCCAAAACCCCTGTGCTCTCCCCCAGGAATTTAATCCCAACAGCCCCGATGTACCTATACAGTCCTTTTTGTTCCAGTGCAGCTTGCAGCCGGTGGGACAGGTACACTGGTAGCTGCCGGGCGTGTTGATGCAGCCAAATTTGCAGCCCCCCCGGTTGATGCTGCATTCGTCCACGTCTGCAGGGAAGAAGGGAGAAGCTGGTGGGCGAGGGGCAGCGGGACCCTCCTGGCTCTGACACTGAACTGCTGCATCACCTCAGGGCTGTGATATTACATGGATAAATTGCCTGGCTGGGGATGGGAGACGTGCACCGCAGGGCGCTTCCAGCCGTGTCCCCTCCCTGCAGCCCCTCAGGGACGCGGGGACCCCCGATTGCCAGCGTCCCCGAGGGCCAGGCGGTGACGGGTGCAGCCCACCCAGGCTGAGCCCGGCCCCGCGGTGGGCTGGGGAGCTGCGGGGGGCAGCAGACGGAGCTGACATGGAAGCACTTAGCCAAATTCAAAAGGCAGCTGCTCGGCAGCCCCAGCCCCTCTTCCCCATGGTAGGGACCTTCCATCCCAGTCCCCCTCCCCACGGCAGAGACCCTCTGCCACAGCCCGAAATGGGGCATCCATCCTCCAGGTCTGGCATGGAGCATGGGAAAAGGTGGGGAGCAGCCAGGGATGGAGCTGCCCCCCTCAAAACACCCCTCCCTGCCCAGCTCCTCCTTCTCAGGAGCATCGGTGGGAGCCAGTGACCCCTCCATCGCGGGGTCTCACCAAGAGCATCCCGGGGGATGCGCTGGCTCATGCTGGCTGTGTATTTTGGGAGCACAAGGAGGGTCGCCCACCCTCGCTGACCAGGCAGTGCCGGAGCACCCGGAGTAGTGCCACCGTCACCCCGAGCTGACGGCACCGCTGCCGCGACACGCTCCGGCAACCCCCCCAAAGCGTGTTTCATCTGCCTCCTCGCTTCCCGGGGGCACCGCACGCCCCCGCCCTGGGGAGCTATCTGCCTTGTGAAACTTAAATCAAACCCTTTTGATGTTCCCCTTCCCACCCCGTCCCAGCTCCCTGCCAAAAACGCCGGGGATTTCTCCCTCTCTCCCGCTGCAGACAAGTCGCAAATTGTTCCTGTCGCTCCGTTTGAAGTTGCAGACACCAGCGTCTGGCTGCGAGCCCCCTCCCTGCCTGGCCCCAGCTCAGGGTACGTGGGGAACCCACCCCCCCGTAGGTCTTTGGGGTGAGTGGTGTCCCCAGGGGTCCTGCAGCAACCACGCCGTGGGGCTCCCCTATCCCTGCGTGCCCCCGTGTGCCCCCCTGGGACCCAGACCCAGCATCCAGCCATCCCTACCTCCGCAGTGGGTGAGCCCGTAGAGCGTGTAGCCCTTGTTGCAGAGGCACTGGAAGCTGCCGGGGGTGTTGATGCAGAGGTGGTCGCAGGTCCGGTCGAAGGAGCACTCGTCGATGTCTGGAGGAAAGGCAAGGGGGAAAGGTGAGGGTGACGTGGTGGAGGGGCGTCCCCTTCCCGCTCCAGCAAGCTCGGGCTGCACTGGGATGCTCCATCCCACAGGGCTGCAGGGAATGTCATGACCTTCATCCCAGGGTTGAGTGAGGCCGGAGGATTTCACCTGGCATCTGCCTAATTGCTGGCTTTAACTCTGCCATGGGACGAGCCCAGAAATCCCCAACTCAGGAGCAGGGCTGGGACGACAGCCCAGCTCAGCAGATCAAAGGGCTAAGCCCCAGACCAGAACCCAAATCCAACACTAATTCCCCGAAGGATGTATGTGGTCCAGAGGAAAGCAAAGAGGAATGAGTAACGGGGCCAGAACTCCTCCAGCAGCAGCGGTGGGAGGGCTGGGAACTGCCAGAGGGCAGGGAGAGGTGACATCCCCAGGCAGGACAGGGAGAGGTGACATCCCCAGGCACGGCAGGGTGTCCGGGGTCCCGCTGCCCCTTACCTTGGCAGTTCCTCTCGTTGATGAGCAGCTTGTAGCCCTTCTTGCAGCTGCACTCGAAGCTGCCCACTGTGTTCCTGCAGATGTGGTCGCAGCCGCCGTTGTTGAGCCGGCACTCGTCGATGTCTGGTGGGGACAGGGGACACGCGTCACGTCCCGGCTGGGATGCTCAGCCAGGAGAGCAGGGTCCTCCCTCTGGACCCCATCCCCACTGGGAGCCGGCAAATGGGGGACACCCTTTGGGCTCTGATGGTCACTGAGGGAACGTGGCTGCTGGTTTTATCTGGGCAGCCGATGCACGACACCGGGGACACTGGGGACACCGGCCAGGGCTCCTGGGCTCAGCTCCCCTTGGAAGCTGTGCAAAGCCTTTAGTTTGGGCAGGCCTCAGCATCCTCCCAAGCAGAGCCAGGGTCTCTGAAAGAGCCTCTCAGCTGGGGCAAAGCACCAGACCGGAGTCTTGCAGAGTCACGGGCTTGTGCTGGGGGATAATTCTGAGGAGCAGGCGCAGCAGGAAAAAAGACCAAGCCAGGTGGGGAAACCTCCTCATTCAAAAACAGCCGCTTGAGAAAAATAAATACTTTTCAACCCTCACCCCTCTGCTGGCCGTCTCCTTCCTGCCGTAAACACAGCTAAAAATGACAATGCACAAAAACTGCAAAGAGCCCCAAAAACCTGGAAAGAGGCTGGCACTTAGGTTTTTAAGTTGGTTTGTTGGTTTGGTTTTTTTTCCACTTTTTCCACTCATCACAAAATTTACTGCTAGGAAACGACCTGTAAAATGGAAGGCGACCAGGAAAAGGCAGTCGCCTTCCCCGTCCCTCCATCCCCCAGCGCCGGGGCAGCAGCTCTGCCTCTCTGGGGCTGGGGTTTTCTTTTTACGACTGCGAGGGAGCGAGCTGTAAACCAGCCCACAGCCCTCATAAAACCCCCCAGACACAGGGGACGTGGCTCCGGGTTATTGCACGTTCCTGGAAACTGCAGAATTGGAGAAGGCTGGGGGAGCTGGGGGTGGGGGGGATGCTCTGATAAAAAAAGAGGGGGCAGGGGGCTTCTGGAAGCAGTCAGCAGGTAGACAGGCAGCCAGCAGCGGGACGGGGGTCTCCTTTCAACCAGGGTCAAGTTCCCAGAGCTGCTGGAAGACACAACGCAGGCACCGGCCAGCCCTGGGGTCACGGGGTCCCCCTGCCCGGGGTGGGGGGGAATTTGGAGGGGATTTGGGGTAACCAGGCTGGACTTCCCCCCCCTCGCAGGGACAGGCGGATGGGGATGTCGGTGGGATCCCATGGTGTCCTCCCCAAAGTGGGACACGGTGCTCGGACCCAGCCCAATATGAGCCACAAAGGGGCTCGTGCCCCACAAATTCCCAGAGTGGGTGTGGATTTCCTGCACAACCACCCCCTGCCCACGGGGAAACTGAGGCAGGGGGGTGGAACGAGGTGGGATGGGACCCTCCAACCCCACAACTGCCATGCCACCACCTCCAACTTGACCTCACCCTCTTTTCACTCCCTCCTTCCCCAAGGGACCAGGGGTGACCACAGCACTTTTAGCAAGGTGGCTGAGTTCCCACGCCGGGGGGGGAGACCCCCGTCCCCGTGGATGCAAACACCGAGCAAGGGGACGCTGCAGGTAACACCGAGCTGAGCTAAAACTCAGCCTTTTCTAAGGGGACCGAGGACACGAGGGGGGGTCTGGGAGACACCCCAGCCCCGCTGGCACCCACCTACCTTTGCACGTCTTCCTGTCGGGCTGCAGCATGAAGCCCATGGGGCAGCTGCAGTGCACACCCGTGGCCGCGTCGTGACACTTGCTGTCACAGCCCCCGTTGTTCACAGCACAGGTCTCTGCAGGGAGAGAGGAGAGGACACTCAGGGTGAGGGACCGGGGTCTAAAAAGCTGGGGAGGGTGTCACCCCCCAGGTGTCCCCATGCCAGCGAAAAGTTCCCACGTCACCCAGATGTCCCCATGCCGCAGTGTGGGAGAGGCAGTGGGTGCAAACCTCCCCACGGAGCCCACCCAAACCACCCTTGGCTTTTCACGCAGCCCTTAACGAGGTCACGGAGCCCCCCTAATTAACAAACACCCCCGACGCAGAGTGCAAGGACCGAGGGTTTAAGGCATTAAGGCTTGATGGTCCCGTAGCATCTTCCGCCTCCGCAGGTGACCCAGTGCTGGTTGCCTTCCCCATCGCCCACCCGGGGGCTGCTCCCCAGGGATTTTGGAGGTGAAACAAGGGCACGTGTGATTCACCCCGGCTGCAGCCCAGTGCTAAGGCAGAGAAAAGCACCCAGATTTCCCCTTTTGCCACAAAAAGCCCTGCGCAACCCTCCCGCCTTCCAGCAACCTGCTCTTACAGACCGGGTATCGGCATTTAAGGCAGAGCGGGGAGTGGGGACAGCCCTGTCCCCTTGTTAGAGGAGGATTTATTAATTACAGGCAGCAGCAGCCAGCTGTCCCAGGGAGGACGGGGTCGGGGACACAGGCAGGGACGCACAGGCAGAGCCGCTGCCGGTTGCGAAAGAGCCGAGACTCGGGGCGCTGGGAAAAGCGGAGGTGGTTTGAGGGAGGCTCTTCATTCCCGAAACGCGGCGCGTTTTCAGCTGACGGAGGGAAAAGCGGCTCCGTGGGATTAATTCCGCCACGCTCAGCCCCCGCGCTGGCATCGGGGCTGCACGTCCCCCAAAAACAGGGTCCAGCAGAGCCCAGCAGCTCCAACAAGGAGGAATGGATTTTCCAAGTGACAAAGTCACAGCCCTTGGTGAGCAAAACGTTCCCGGAGCCGGGTCTCGACAGGGGTGTCCGTGCTGCTGCTCCCCAGGGATGCAGGTGCACAGCCCCCATCCCCAGCACGATGGAGGAGGGGGCCCAGCCCTCCCTTTGCCACGGCCACCACAAAGCCACCGGTGACCCCGTGCCACCGGTCCCTAACCACCATCCACCGCTCGGGCACGCCGGCCAGTCCAGTGTCACGGGCTAATTTGGGAGACGCTTTGTATAATTAGAACACACACACACAGAGGCAGCATCAGTGGAAAAAAAAAAATCCAATTATTTTTTTTTTTTAAAAAAGCTAATTATTTCAGTATTATCAAAGTCAGCTGTTGCTGGTAGGACTAGAAGGGACACTAATTTAAATGAGGCATTTTCAGCTTGACAGCTTCCCTGTGAGATCAATCCTCAATTTTGGTCCTAACCACCAGAACAATGGTTTGAAGTGCATTAAGTTGTTCACAAAGGATAATAAAATATTCCTTTCAGAAGGCTGGTTGCTCGGATAAATGAGGCGTTTGGGCTTCAAGGAACCCAAGATGAAAATGCCTTGAAGAAATTCCTTGGAAAGAGCAAAATCCCAGGTTCTCCCGCTCTTTGCGAGCGCCGCATGGGGTGGGAATGACTGAACCATCCAACCATTTGCCGCGGGGCGAGGGAGCTGGGATCGCTCTGTGCTCGTCTTGCCGCTGCTATTTTTACGATGTCCCATAATAAGAGAACAAAAGGGACCATTTTATGCAATTAATAGCCAGCACAATTACAAAACCGAGCGGCAAGGGAAGGATTTCTGCAGATTTTATCATTCCTCCAGCCAGGTTCTCGCGCCGCACAGAGCCCGGCTGTGCCGGGACCGTTCCCCCCCCGGCGCCGGGACGAAGCGCACGGTGCGGGCGACACCGCGCCCAAGGGAAGGGAAGCTTTTCTGGAAGCCCGATGAATTATCCAACACCAGCCTTTGTTCCAGCAGCTGCTGCAGAAGCAGCCCAGGGAGGATTCTCATTTAACAGTGTTGCTGCCGGGATGAGACACCGGGATGGAGGAGCCAGAGAAACGGATGCACCGGAGGTCGGGAGGGGAAAACAGGGCTCTCTGGGGACTGTGGTGTCCTGGGCACCCTTCAGCATCCTCCAACACTGCAGCACCCATCTCCCCTTCACACCTTCAGGGAATTTTGGCTAAGATGGAAAGTAAAGCAAGTCCTTCCCGCCATCCTATGAGGATGCAGCCGCTGCCTGAGGCATCCAGGGGGTGGGAGCTGAGCCAGCCCCACTGCAAACCCCTCTGCGAAGGTGGGGGGACCATGTCCTGTAGGCTCTGCACAAGCTGGGGGCGGGGGCATCCATGTCTTAAAAGCTTTGCAAAAACCTGGGGGGGGTTGCTGTGGGGGTACCTGGGAGGCAGCGGAGGTGGGAGGGCACGGGGCCAGGCGCTGGAGCAGGGCTCCGGGAGAGCAGCATTGTTCATGGGGTGCCGGCAGCCCCAGGGCTGCTCCCAGCCTGGCGTGACTCACCCAACCACACAGGGCTTTGGCGAGGGCCTCCATCGCTCGGGGAGGGAGAAGACAAAGCAGCCTGTGCACACACACACACACACGCACGAACACACACACACACTCTCTTTCCCACCCTCCTCCATCCCAGCTCCGGTCTCGCTTCCCGACCGCCACGGAAACCCTGGCCCTGCTCGCACCCTGCGCCGTGCTGGCTGTCACCGGGCACCAACAGAGCCCCTGCCCGTGTCCCCTGCCCGTGCCCCCTGCCCATGTCCCCTGCCCATGTCCCCTGCCCATGTCCCCGCAGTGTCCTGCCCACACACGCTCTGGCTTCGCCTCCACCTGCTGGGAAGCAGCAATGGCAGCAGGATTGCCATCCCACAAGCCAGAGGAGATAATTGGGTGGTAATCAGAAGGATTACAGCCGGGTTGGCTGGAGCGGGGTGATGGCGGGGAGCTGGGGGGGCCCCCCCCCTTCTCCCACCCGCTGGGGAAAGGCTCTGCAGAGCCCCCCGAAAGCTCGATGCCGCCGGCGAGCTGTGCACCCACAGCTTCTCCCGGGTTTTGCATGCACCCAGCACATCCACAAACAAGATTCCCCACCACAGAGAAGCCGCTGGACCTTCAGGCTGCCTCAGTGTCCTTCTGGGCTGGGCAGAGGCATCTCCTTACCTTTCAGAAGGGCTTAGAAACCTGGCGCAGGGTTGCAAAGAAATCCTTGGGGAAGCAGCCGAGGTGCCAGCCCAATTAAAGGTCATTGACAGCTCTGGGATTTGCTGCCCCGAAGCACAATTAGCAGCTTTACCAAACCCTGGGACATCCTCAATGTCCCCGTGTCCGCAGAGGGGACCGTCTGTGAGCGGGGGGACTCCAGGAAGGGGTGATTTTGGGAGCACAGAGACGGGCACAAGCATCCCCCTCCCCATCACGCAGCCACCAGCAGACCACAGCTAGCTCCTGGTGGGTGGCCACGGTGGGGGGACAACCATTGCCACAGCCACTGGAAAGCAGAATATCACCCCTGCACCGGGCTGGGTGACCAAAGCAACGCGAGAGCCCCCGCCTCATGCAAGCACAGCCAGGGGAGGGTCTTTCTCTGTTCGCCCCCAAGCAAAGTCCGCCCGAGCTCTGCGGGGTTTCAAAGCAGCAGGGGGGGACAGGGTTAGTGAGGCATGCGGTTAGCGCGACAGCTCAGCCCCCCGAACCCCGTTAGGATCTCGAGATGAGAGACCGTCTACAGTTAGACCCCTCCGCAGAGATAGAGAGAACAAAAATATTTACCATTAGAAAACGTCTCAACGATAACGTGTTGCTGGAAGTGTCTCTCCCCTGTTTAACATTATAAAAAAGTGATTTAGAAACAGTGTCCAGCAAGGAGCTCGGTTGGTGTCACACATCAATGGGTTCGACTCCACTGCCTTTCCAGCCTGGTGGAAATTGCCCCTTTGGGTTTTTTCTCCCCCCCGCCACCTCCCAAAAGAGCCAAAACCAGAGGATTGGGTCTGGTGCTATCGACTCCTCCATCACCCTGTCTGAAGCATCCCGTGCCCCGCAGCCTCTCCAAACCCCCTCCGGTTTCGTGCCCCACGTCGTGCCGCCGGAGCCCCAAGCGAGAGGGAGGAAGCGCGTTATGAAGAGCGTTAGTGCAGCTCGTTAGTCTGGGGAATCGGGTCCTCGTCGGAGCAAAACCAGCACGTGCCGGGGCAGGTTGTAATCCCTGAGAGGAGCCGTATGGCACCGTGTGGCCGTGGGCCTCAGGAAGGCAACCGCATCCCGTCGGTGGCACTTGCACTGCTGGGATTTAGCAGAAGAGCCCAAATTTTGGGTGCTCTTGGGCTGCTCAGCTTTACCCTGCACTGGTGCAGGGAGCCCCGGTGAGACACGGTGCAGCCCCGGGGTGAGCACCCGAGGGAGCCTGGGGGGGTACAAATGGCTAAAAAGGGGCTGAGAGCAGCCCAGGCAAAGCTGCAGACCCCCAGATTGGTGCTAAAACACTTTTAAAAAATTAGCTTGAGCCTTGCCCTGCAAAGGAGACTCTGCCTGACATCACCCATCCATGGCTGGGAGATGTCCCCCACCTCATCCCAGTCATTTTGGGGAGGGAATAAGAAGACTCAGCACTTCTTTTTGTGGGGACAGAGCCCCGTGGCAGTGCTGGACCGAAGCCGGAGAGCCCTGGGGTGAGCGGGGAACGTGAAGCCCATCACCCCTGGGACCGAGCAGAGACAAACACATCCCCACTTAATGATAAATGACGCCGGGTCCATGCAGAGGGGAGGACAGTGGAAGGGCAAAAGAGGGGACAGGCAGCCCCCAGCTGTCCCCTGGGGGGGCTCAGACTGAGGGCAGAGACCCAGCAGCCAGGACACAGGGTGTTGAGGTTCTGCAGAGACTGTGTCCCCCTCGGGGAGGTGGATGTGGGCAGAGGAGCACACATGGCATGCCCACGGCCACCCGCCTCGTGTCCCCGGGTCCTGCTTTCCCCTTACCAGAGCCCTCCTACGCCGTGGTCCCTTGGCTCTGGTGTCCCCGGCATTGACCCGGCAGCAGGGTCTGGCGCAGCCCCCGCTCCCGGCACCGTCGGCTTCACAAGGCCGGGGAGCATCGGCGCTGCCCCCGCAAACCGCCGGGGCGCAGGTCAGGAAATCACCCATAAAACTGGAGCTGGGGTTAGTTTCCTTCTCCATCTAATCATATTTCCTCCCCATCCACCGCCTCCCACTCCGCTCGGTGCTCGCCCCGCGCCGGGGGACAGTGACGGCCCTGCTGCACCCCAAGGACCAGCGGGAGGGAGCTGCAATGATGCCCTGGCAGCTAAATCTTCCCGGAAAGCCAAAATCTCCATCAGCTGTGGCATCCCGGTTTGCATCTCCCTGTAGACACTGACTGCGCCCTGGGCTGCTGGAAGGTGATTGTATGTTCTTTTTTTTTTTTTTTTTTTTTTTAAAAAAAAGGCTATTTTTTGAGCATAAATATAAATATATAAGGTCATCGGCCTCTCCTCCCCGCTCCCCCTCCCCCTCGAGCCCGCAGACATGTTGGGAGCCATTAGGGCTGGCCCCGCTTTGCTCAGAGGCATGTTATTCATTATCTGCATTTTTAAAAGCAGCAATAAAAAGCGGAAAAATGAAAAACACCGGCCATGGCCTAATGAAACTGTCATTCAAAGGGGCTGATCGTGCTTCCTGCCGCGTGGTGTGATCTGAAGGGAACCTGGACCAGGGGCCTGTCCCGGCAGCCCATCAAACGCACCGCGTACAATTTCAAAGCCCATGGCCCGGGGAGCGAGTTTGCGTTTCCCTTCGCTGGAAACTTTATTCCCCTTGAAATGATGAAATATTTCAGAGGAAATGGGGAAGGGGCGGCGGAGGGAGCACCGGGGAAGCTGGGGGGGAGGGCTGTTTGCTGAGCCCCGGCTGTAAAACAAGAAAGGGTGGTTATAAATATCTGAGCAGGTACCTCGGCCGTAAATCTGCTGGCCGGGCACCCCCATGGGGCGGCTGCCAGCTCCCAGCGGCCAGAGCACAATCCCACAGTGTTCCTGTGGTGGGGATGGGGGGTCAGGAATCTCTTGAGGGACGGGGGAGCCGGGTGGGCGCCTTCCTGCAGAGAGGGATTGCAGAGCCGAGAGGGATGCGAAAGGTGCAGCAGTGGGGTTTTAGGGCTGGTGGCTCCTCAAATCCTCCATCGAGGTGTTTGGTTTCCCCCCGGGAGGATGGATGAGGGAAGAGCTCATGGAGACGTACCGGCTCCGGTGGCAGATGCCCCCCCAGCAGATACAGTGCACAGCATGGGGACAAAGGGGGAGATTTTGGCCAAGGTGATGAGGAGAAGTGATTTTGGAATGCCCTAAATCCCACCCTCACGCCTGTGGTACCCAGGGTTCAAGTGCTGAGACCCTGCAGCAAACAGACCCCTCTGGAGCATCCCCCAAATCAGGAGATGCTTCGGAGGGGGGCTCTCCCACCCCCCGCACCCAGCAGCTCAGAAGCATCATTTCAGTGCCAAACCTCCCCGAATCCTCGCACCAACACACACACAACACGCACAGGGACCTCTGGCCAGGAGGAATGAACCCTGGGGTCCCCAAAGTCCCTGTGGGAGGAGCAGTTCCCACCCCGGGCACAGCAACAACCCCACAGGAGGGTCCTCAAGGGGATGAAGCAGGAGCAAACACAAGGACGGCGGGGACAAGGAGCTGCAAGTGCCTGCCAGCAGCCAGGAGGGACCGGAATTAATCCCGGGACTGGGCTGGGTGACAGCGGTGACAGGCAGGAGGGCTTTGCTGGGGGCTCAGCCCCCAGCATCCCTCCCCACCAGGGGGTCGGGGGGCTCCTCCGCCGCTCCCCCCGAGTATGGAGCTGTCTTTGGAAAGCGCAGAGGGTTTTCTGTTCAGGCACAGCGGGGACACCGGGAGCCAAAACCTCGCTCTTGCTTTCAATCCCTTTTTCTTTTTTATTTCTGCAATAAGAACTCAAATGTCTAGAGCAATTTGTGGATGTAATCACTCGCTGAATGTAACATTTTTTTAAATCAAATCAGCTGTTAAACAGCAGAAGCATATGAAACCAGTAAAACTTCTATCTCTGTTTGATGTTTTACAATTTGAAAACACAATTTGAAAGAGGAAAAGGACAATTCTGGGGGTGGTTGAATTGTCAGGTTGTTGGGTTTTTTGGCATTTTTTTTTTTGCAAGACAATTGTTCCTGAGCCGAGACCCTGCAGTGCCAAGTCAGAACAGATCACCACAGCCAAATCTGTCCCCTCCACATCCCTCCCTGAATGCTGCCGGTGACGGGGACAGTAACAATTTCTGGAGCGGGGACATCTTCAGCCCTCTCCCTCCAGCAGCACGGAGGCAGGGACCCCTGCCCGCACCCCAGGCAATGACCTGTCCCCAAATGTCCCCTCAAGCATCCCCACGGCCACTTTTGCTCCCCGTGGTTGAGCAGCGACGCACCCCTGCATCCCTCACACACACACTGAGTTTCTCCGATCTCAGCAAAAGAAAACACCGCGTCCCCAAAGCTTGGACAAAACCCAACCCTGTTCATCAGGCCAAGAGCAAATTGCCCAGGGAGGAAGACGAGCCATCCCGCACCCCGACCCGCGTCCCCGCAGCCCGGCAGTGGCACCTACCGATGCACGTCACCCCGTCGGAGTGCAGAAGGAACTTGACGTGGCAGCCGCACTTGGGCCCCTGGTCGGTGTCGTCGCAGGTGTGCTGGCAGCCCCCGTTCCCGTAGTTGCAGGTCACTGAGGGAGGCAAAAATCCAGCCGTCACCCAGGGCCCTGGCCCCTCTCTTCCCCACCTGGCATCCCCGAGCGGTAGCATAAAGCTGGCTTGGAAAAACCCCATCCATAATCTCGGAGAGATGCCTCCCTCCTGGATAATTCCTAAAGTCCTCTGACTTTCCCTGCGGGATTTTGGCAGATGCAAACGGGTAAGTGGTTTGTCACGTCTGCCCTTTGCATATCAGCCAAATGCCACCAGTGCAGCCCAAGCAAAGGGGACCCATGGGCTGGTTGCCCCTGGTGTTAGAGGGGAAGGGTGGGACTTTCCCAAGCTCTGGAATGACTCAGGTGCTCCCGGGAATCCCTGCCAGCCCTCCCCGGGGGGCAAGGCGTACTGTTCATTTAGCTTAGAGGGAAAGTAGGCTCGTAGGATTAAAACTCCATTCCATCAGCGATTTTACCTGTTTGCTGCAGACAGCAAACGAGAAACAAAATAAAAATAATTGCATAAACACATGCATATCTATATAATAACCCTGGCAATGCCAGCGAGATGCTGGCAGGAGATCAGACAGGCTGAGAGCACCACAACCCCAGGGAGAGGATTCCTGCACTCCTCCCGTGCCGATCACACTCTCCCTGCTCATCTCCCCTTGGGAAAGCGAAGCTGATGGGACAGGGATGAGGGATGTTGCCCCTCTGGGACCCCCTTTAACTGCCATTTCAGCCCACTCAGTGTCAGGGCACAACGTCTCATGGCAGAGGGGGATGCCAGGAGCATCATCTGTAAGGGCCACAGCTAGAGGAAAATGAAGCCAGAGGGTTTCAGGCTCAATAAACCAACTGCTGCTGGGTGGATTGGGGGTTTGCAGAGGGACCAGGACGTGTCTGTACCATGGGGACAAGGCTGGGGTCCCCAGGAGGGTGTATTCCCCATCCCTGGAGCACTCCTTACGTTTGCAGTCGCGCTGGTTCTTGGTGAGCTCGAACCCGGGGCGGCACTCGCAGGCGATGCCCCCCTTGGGGGTCTCTCGGCAGATGTGGGCGCAGCCATGGTTCTTGTTCATGCAGTTCATTCCTTCTAAAAGAGAGAAGGAAGCAAAGAAAAGCTCCAAAAGCTTGCTGGCACCGGTCTGCGGCAGCAGAAGGGCATCTGAGGTGGGATGGGGAGAGAGGGGAAATGAGGGGAAAAACTTACAAGTGAGGACCTTAGAGGGGACAGGATAACCCCATGCAGTGCCCTGAAGGACAGCACGTCCTGGCACAGAGTGGCTCGGGAGGGTGGACAGGGCAGCCAGCTCGTGGGGATGGGGACACAGGAGATGCCACTGTGGCCACTGAGCCCCGTTCTGGGCTGGGTGAGATTCCCCAGGGAGCTGGAGGGACCGACACAGCTGGGAAGGGGGAAGGAAGAAAGCAAAAACACTCAGACGGCTTTGCCAAGCAGTGGAGATAAAAATCAGCAGAGACGTAAAAAATCTCTCATTTCCTCCTATTTTGGCTAAGAAATTGCTCCAGACGGCAGCAATTTAGAGCTGATACCGAGACGAAGGGCTCGGTGCTGCGCAAGACCTGGCAGGAAAAGATGAGCCTCGCAGGGTGGCGTGAGGCTCTCTGTGTACCTTTTATTTAATAAAACGCTCTGGATACAGGATTAATGTCCTGCGTTCGGTATTACCCTGCTTGGTAAAGGGGCCTGGAAGGGTTTTGTTACGGAGATGTTTATTAGCCCTCTCCCAGTAAATCTGTTTTTAAATTTGCAGCACTGAGAAGGGTCATGAACCAGCGCCGGCACCCAAAGCAGGGGTGATGGGTGCCTTTGATCGGGACCTGCCCGATAAATGCAGGGGTCGGAGGGTGCCCCGGGGCGGGGAGATGCCGTGGACTCACCTTCGGGGCGCTGGATGCAGGTGTGCTGGTTGTCGCTGAGGAAGAAGCCCTCCCGGCAGAAGCACTCGTAGCTGCCCATCATGTTGACGCAGGTCTGCTGGCAGCCGCCGTTGCCCTCCGAGCACTCGTCCAGGTCTGCAAAGGGAAGGTGGCAGGGGGTGAGGGTGGCCCCTTGGCATGCCAGGGGGCTGGGCAAGCGGCTGGGACAGATTGGCTAGGGAGCAAATTATTTCTGCTTTACACCCATGGTCCTCCAGCTAAGAGAAAAGGGGCTGCTTTAGGGCTGCAGGGGATGAGGGCGAAGCACATCAAGGGTCATAGAGGCCACACAGCTCTCCCGACTGATGGGCAAAAAAGGTCCAGCCTCATTTTACACAGAAAAAGGGATTTTCCTTGTCCTGGGACCCCAAAACACCCAGGATGCTGGGATGTTGGCTGCAGCTGCCCCCTGGTCCCAGCTCCTGCAAGCCTGTCGCCAGCTGGGGATGCCTGCACTTCATTAGGGGGAGCTGGGAAACCTTAGCCCAGAGCAGGGCTAATTACTTGTTAGAGACTCAAATCCCCAGCAGCTCTGCTGCTGCCCTCCTGCCTGTTTGGGTTTAACAAACCAAGGCTGGAAGGGGCTGGAAACACACACTCATGGCAGCGGCGATGCCCTCGCTGCTCCATTCCTGAAAATCCCTCTTTTAATGAAGAGCAACAGCCCATTGCTCTCTCCAGAGGGTTTTTGGGGACAGCGGTCCAAGCTGAACCCAGTGGTGCCAGAGCAGCCAGGATGTTGGGCTCAGGCAGAGCAGCAAACCCTTGCCACGGCCACTCCTGTCCCCTCCGTCCACGGTGCCAGGGCTGGGTGACAGCGTCAGGGCCCGGTGCCAAAGAAAACCTCCGGTGAACTCGAGCGTTGCCGAGCCGGTGGTGGAAGCGAAAGCTGAGCCCCGCCAGCATCGGAAACGCCGGAATAATGGCTCGGTGATGGCACGTGCTGGGGGGGACACTCCCAGCCCTGGCTCCTCCAGCACCAAATGGCACAGCACACACCAAAACCCCTTGCTTTTGGGCAAAGAGATGGATGGATGGATGGATGGATGGATACCTGAACAACGTGGGTGCCTGTGTCCCAGTGCCCCTGGCAAACCCCAGGGGATGCTCAGAAATCAAAGCAGCTGGAAACTGTCCAGAAGCTCCAGCTGGAAACTGTCACGAGATCAGAGCCCAGGAGCACCCCAAAAACCCGCCACTTTGGAAAGGAGGTGTTGAAAATGTCATCTCACACCCGGGGCCCCGCCGGGCAGGCTAGGGCTGACAGCCGGGCTGCAGCCAGACACAAAAGGGACACCCTCTGTGATGGCAGGAGGCTTGCAGCTTCCTCTGAGGCTCATCCCAGCCCAGCTATGTCCTGCAGATGCCAATAACTCTCCTCAAATCCCCCTGCTTATAACAAGGGCTTAACGTCTTGCGACTTCTCCTTCAAGCTCTGCACAAAAATGAGGAGGCAGCCGTTCAAACCCAATGGTTGAAACGAGACTCCACCGCTCTAATACCTGTTTTATTAAATACAAGGGAGATGGGCAGAAGCCAGCAGGGCCCGTGACAGGACCGGGGCTTGAATTCCTGTCCTGGTTCAAAAGGTCTCCCGGGGTGGGCAATGGGGGGGGGGCAGTGGGTATGTACCCCAACCCACCTCCGGCTCGACCACTACTCACGGTGTCAGCAAAGCCTGGCACGACCCTCGGCTTCGCTCTGCTGCTCCTTCCCTTGGCTAAGCACAGTCAGAATGGGGGAGAAAAGGGAAGGAGGACGGGACAATCCCACCAGGGTTCATCCCTGCCACCCCCCAAAAGCAGCCACTGCTCAAATCCACCCAGAGCACCGAGGACATCAACATCCTCATCTGTAAAATGTTCTCCAGGGAATAAACCTGCACCATCCCTACGGCAAAGCAACGTGGCTGAGATACCGGGACAAGCCAGGGAAAGGCTCAAGAGGAGAAGATGGGGTGCCCCCCCTCAGGTTCCCCCCTCGCCCGGCTGCTCCCTGGCCACCTCCATCCCCTCCTACCCAACTCTGTAAACACATGATGTCTGTGGCTCGCCAAGCCCGGCTTTCCTTTCTTCTCCTCGGGCTCATCCTCCCCCGGGAGAGGAAGGCAGAGCCGCCCGCGCCTCCTCCCAGCTGTGTAAATCTCCCCCCTCCCCGAGGAGGCTGCAAAGATCCCGGTGATGGTGCTTAATGCAAAGCGTATGTGTCCATTAATCCCTTCCCCCTCCTCCTCCTCCCAATGATGAGCTCATTAATGACCCCTCCGCAGACACTAATTAGAAAATAGCATGAGCTCCAGGCGGAGGGAGGAAGGGCGGGCAGCCCCGTGCCCCGGCGCTCCCACCCGGGGGTGCTGCGGGAGGAAGCGGGTGCCGGGGTGCGGGGCTCTGCCGGGAGCTTCGGCTCGGCCGCGGCCGGATGGAGTCTGGGGCAGTGGGAAGCGGTGGGGAGGATGCACGGCTGCTCCGTAGGCAGATGCCGGGTTTGTCTTGGCCCGGGGATTATTTACCCAGTCCCTTCGCTGGTTCCCATCCCCACCATATTTGCTATTAACTCATCTATTTTGGCAGGTGCAGGGCTGACCTCAAGCACGAGCGGAGCAAGCGGCGGGGCCGGGGTGAGCCTCCTCGGCTGGTCCTGCCTCCGGCAGCGGAGCGGAGCTGCGGCCCGGCCACTCGCCGCAGCAGGATGTGGCCACGGGGAGGCTGTGACCAGCACCCAGTGTCCCCAACCCTCCCTGTCCCCAGCATCCCCCAGGCTATGGATGGACCCTGGGAGCAAGTTTTTCTCCCCACACAGAGCATCCTTCCCCAGCATCATCCCCGTGCAACGGGGAGCAATCCCATCCCCAGCGAGCCATCATGACACAGGACATGTCTGCAGCTGGTTTGCCATCATGGCAATGGCATCATTGTCCCCCAACGGCTCCTGGGGGGGTCAGAGCTTGGGACATGGCCAGCAAAGAAATCTGCCGGGCTGGTCCCAAGGTGCCAGAGCTGCCGAGTGGCTGTGACACCCAGCATCCCACCCCGCTGCGTGCCGGGGGCCTGTCCCTCACCCAAGCAGTTGTGGCCATCGTGTGCCAGGCGGAAGCCATCGTAGCAGGTACAGCGGTAGTTGCCGGGGATGTTGACACACTCGTGGACACAGCCCGCGTTGTCTTCCCGCTCACACTCGTCGACGTCTGTGGAGAGAGGAGGGCAGGAGAGTTGTAGGCCTGCCCCAGCTGAGGACGGCCAACTCATTACACGCGTGCTGCTTCCCCAGTGTTTGTGACCCAGCTGATATTGTGCCCTGGGGTCTCTGCTTAATTCAGCAGGTCCCCAGGTCCGTTATCACCGACAGCATCCCTCCACACCCTGCAAAAACACCCCTGTCCTCCCCAGTCTAGACCCTGGACTTCCAGTTATCCTGCTGTCTTAAACCTTCGGCACAGCGTGGTGCACTGGGAATCGCATGGGATCTCCCGCTGGCGGTGGGCAGAGCTGCCCGTCTCCATGGCGAAGCCCTGCTGAGCCTGGAGCACGCTTTGATCCCTCTGCTGTTTGTACTCGGCCGTCCCAACCCCGATCCTGCTCCGAGCAGAGCCGGGAATTTCTCCCCTGCCCGGTTCCTGCTTTCCTGCTGCCAATCCTCCAAGGAGCACATTTTCTTTCCATGCGCCACTGAGCTGCATATACCTCTGTCTATACCTATATCCATATCTGCATTTACATCCACATCTATGTCTACATAAAATCATAGAACTGCCCAGGTTGAAAGGGACCTTTCAGATCATTGAGTCCAACCATCAACCCAACGCTGACAAAACCCATCACTGGGTGATGTACCACGTCTACCCAGCTTTTAAATCCGTCCACGGCTGGTGACCCCACCACTTCCTGGGCAGCCCATTCCAAGGCTTAATAACCCTTTCTGTGTAAAAATGTTTCCTAATATCCACCCTAAACCTCCCCTGGCATAACTTGAGGCTGTTTCCTCTTGTCCCATCAGCTGTTCCTTGGGAGACAAGACTGACCCCCCCCGGCTACACCCTCCTTTCAGGAGGTTTACATCCATATAATTTACATTTACATCTATATCTATTACATTTACATCTATATCATCTATATCTCTGTATCTTATTTTGAAGCTTCTCGTGTTTTAGCTGCTAACCCAGTTCTGCAGCCTCTGGGTTGGAAATCCTGCAGGGAAAAAAAAAAAGCTCAGATTGTTTAAAACCAGCCCCAGGTGACCCAGGTGGCTCTTCGCAGAGCAGAGGAGGGAGCACAGCTGCCACCAGCAAGGACAATCACATTCCTCTCCCTCTCCATGCACTGCAGCATCAACAGGCCAGGAGTCTGGGGCAGAAAAGGGGAATAAGAGGTTTGTGATGGGCTGGGGTGAACAAGCAGCCTTTTGCTAGGGCAGGGGACATTGCTGACGAGCCACCCCCTGCCAGGGCTGTCACTCGTTGGAGGGGTGCTGGTGGCGTGGTCCTACCTTTGCAGTGCTTCCCGTCCCCGGTGTAGCCGGACTTGCAGATGCACTTGTAGGACTTGGGGGTGTTCTGGCAGATGGCGTCGATGTGGCAGTTGTCAGTGCCCTCCACGCACTCATCAACATCTGCAAAGGGAGAGGGGGGGGCAGCGATGGGGAGAGCTGGGGGGAGCCCTCCCCATCTCTCACCGGGCCCATCACCCAAGGAAAGAAAATTGAGCAGCCCTCTGGCTTTTCAACCCGCACACGGACCAGGATGCTGCTGCTTTGGTCCTTAGTGGCTTCGCCGCACCCAGACCTGATGCAGCGGGTAATGGGCTCGCTCCCAAAGAGCCCTACCTGTCTCCCTGCTCTTACACAAGCCACCCTGAGTCTCCCCGACCCTTTCCCCTGCCTGATGATTGGAAACACCGTTCCGGCGCCCGTAGTCCGGGCTGGAGCCAGCCCAGGCAGAGGTGAAAGTCTCTGTCTCCAATTAGCCATTTCCTGAGCCGACCAGTCACCCAAATAATCGTCATCGCTTTCTATTCTTAGGCAGGGAGGAATGTGCACGAATTAGCAGGGACCGCACTAAATAAACCTGGGAGCCGGCAAGCGGGAAGCAGGAGGGAGAACTGGGAAAAACATCAAGGCTTCCTTGGGGACACAGCCAAAAATCCATGTCCGACCCCCATCCCCCTTTGCCCATCAGCCCACCTCAGGGACGCAGCGCTGTGGTACCTGGGACATGGCCTCCAGAGCATCACGAGCCAGTGATGGCCTCAAGTGGTGATGCTCAAGGGTTTGGCCGTAGCAGGAGGCCATGGGAGCAGAGATTTTAATGGTATTTGGGAAACAGAAGTTTTGAGCATGTGGTGAGGAGGTTTTTGAGCAAAAGACTGCTCACCTGGCTGCTCTCTGCCTTCCCTGCGTGGGCTGTAAGGGAGATGTGGTGCCCTGGAGCAGGCACATCTCCCCCTCTCTGCCTGTGGATGTGGTGTGAGGCAGCTGGGTGTCCCCAGGGGGGTGAGGTGGGGCTGAGCATTGCCCACAGCCCCCCCGGGACAGGCAGGGCTCCCCAAGCAAGGGGTCTCCCCACTCTGACCCCCCGGGCACATGGGCTGCACATTGGGGGGTTCACCTCCACCACCTCCCACGGGGACGGGGAGGGTCCCACCAGGGAAGGGGGATCCAAGGGTCCCTCCAGCTTCCCCATACCCCATGAAGAGGAGCCTGAGGCAGCAAAGCTCTCAGCTGCCTTTAAAAAGCAGCTTTTCCACAACCCCAAGAACAGAAATGCTCTCTCTGGGACGTCCCTGAAGACATGAAACATCCCTGCAAGCCGCGAGCAGGCAGAGATCCCTGCCAGCCCCGCCAGGACGGGGGCCATGGCCACGGGAGCACTGGCCCGAGCCCTCTCCCGGCCACCCCGGCAGATTTTTGCCGGGAGATGTGCGTCACCCGGCCGGGGGGGAGGAGAGCTTTGCCTTTGCACCCGGGAGGCGGCACGTGCCTGCGCATTGTATAAATATTTACAGCCCGCATTCATATTTGTTATTTGACATTAGCCATGGCCCGCGGCCACCACGGCCTCCCTTGGGCCATTAATCACCGGCTGGAGGCTGACCCACCGCGGCGGAGACGATGGAGGGATTGCATGGGGGACTGTCACCCCGCTCCCCGCCGGCACTGTCGCCTCCAGCATCCACAGCACCGGCCATGGGGCCACCATGGTGTCACCACCCCAGCACCTCATGGCATCACCGGGAGAGTGGCTGGCAGCCCACCGTGCTCTGGGGGTCCCACGGGGACTCGGGGGGTGGGGGGGGCTGTTGTCTCCTCAGGGAGCTGAGCAGGGCTCAGGTTCGGTTCCTCGCCAGACAAACTTCTCTTTGGCCACAAACCCCATCCCCGCCCTGGGGCACAGCCACCCCACCGCACCCCCGACCCACCTACAAACAGAAAAGCGTGTGCAAATAATCACCAGTGGAAAAAAAAAATGCAAAAGCCACAGGAGCACAGAGCTCCCTCCTCCCCAACCACCTCTCCAGGCTTACAGAGGTTTTGGGGACAGAGGAAGCACCTCCATTGCCGACAAGCACCATCGGGCATCACGGGGAATTCACCTCCAGCTCCAGCATCCCTCGCCCGGGCTCTCGGGTGGGTGGTGGGAGGGACGTGGCACCGGAGCCATGAGGGGACACGTTGGGGCATTGAGACATGGGCAGAGATGAAGCTACAGCAGCAGCGAAGGCGATGCTGAACCAAACACTGAAAGGATTTGCAAATCCTGGGCCTGACCCTGCGCGGGTCAGAGCCCTCCCCCAGCTCCTTTCCCCCCTCCCAAGGTATAAATCACATCCCGATGCTTCGAGGTGACGGTCCCAAGGTGAGAGTCGCCGGGTCCCAGCACCCACCCAGGGGTACAGGTGGGAATCAGCACCCAAACAGTACAGACCATCCATCAACCCCCACATCCTTCCCCCTAAAAACACCCAAAATGCAAAGCATCCGTCAGACATCACATCATCGAAATTTTCCCAGCCTTTTGCCAGAAATCTCACTTTTTGGGGGGTTTGATTTTCTATTTCTTTTTCCTCCTGCGCCCTCAAGCTCGAGACAATGAACAATGTCTGTGCGGCGCTGAACACAATGCCGTGCCTTTCCCACTCACACATGTATATTATTTTTTTTTTCTATCTTTTTTTTTCCATTCTGTAACTTCAAAACTTCTCTAACTTTGGAAAGATTACACAGCAGCAAAAGTACAAAAGAAAACATTATAAATTTGCCACTCTGTAATTTTTCCAAAGCTGGAGACGTTCTGAAAGGTTACAGGATTATAAAAAAAAAGAGAAAAAAGGGGGAAAAAAAGTGTGTGTGTGTGGGAAGAGTGAATAAATACCCTCCTCATCACCCCAGGAGCCATCCTGAGATTGGCAAAGATCCTAATTTCAGAATGCTGAAATTCTGGCTCCTAAGAAGTATCGTTCAGAAATGATGGAGTGAATTAAAAAAAAAAAAAGCCCTCAGAGAAACTAATTTTTTGCCTTTTTGTCAACGTAAGTGGCATTTTCCCACGAAAGGGAAGGTTTGCCATCAGGGCAGCCCGCTTTTCCCGCAGGATAATTTTCTCCATCCCAAAAAACTGCCCATGGCCGCGCTGCAGGTGCTCCCAGCCGCCGCCAAAGCACCAGGGATTTCATTTTCCAGCCAAAAGAAGAGATTTTTTTTTTAAAAAAATATTCTTATTGATGTTCCCATCCTTATTCGCTCTTGCAAAATCCTTGCCCTGCGCATCCCCCTGCTCAGGGGGACCTTTTGAAGTCCAGGTCCCAAAACCAGGTGGGGTTTTCTGGGGGGGATTTGCCAGCCAGAACCCCCTGCAGACCTGCACAAATAATCAAAGATGCCCTTTTTCACCCAAAGTTGCCTGAAACGGGCCCAAGGCGGACAGCGCAGATGGGCGCATCGTGCCCTCAATCCCCAGAACAGGGGGATTTTGCACTTTTTTGGATGAACGACGACTGATTTGGACGAAGATGCCGGGTCCCCATCGGGGGATCCGAGGTCTCGCCCACCTCCAGCAGCCCCCGCTCCACCTCCCCATCCCTCCAGCTTTGGGGCTACTTAGGGCTGGTCAGGGGGCAAGAGCATCCTGGGCATCGCCGCCGCGGTGCCGGGGGGTTTGCGGCGAAGGGCAGGAGGCTGCGGCGCTCGCCCCGCGCCTCGGGCCATGTTTTTTATTCCGTTGTGGGTGGGATTTTCCAGCGCTGGCTGTTGGGCCCCGTTCCGCTCCAGCTGCAGCTTTATTCTCCATTTCAAAGGCAGCGGAGGCAGACGGTTTCAACGCCACTGCCATTTCGAGCCTGCCAAAAGCAGGGGGGGACACACCACCAAACCTCCCCCCCCCAGCCCCGGCCCGGCACACACCCACCGGGGAGGCGAAGGGCTTTGACCAGGGGCATCGGGGGAGGCGGTGGCAGAGCCCACGGGGCAGCCGGGTCCCACACGTGTGTGCCCTGCCCCGCGGCATCCCGCTGCTCGTGATACACGACGGCCAGGGGAGATAAAGCAACACCTCGTATATTTGTGGAACCGGGACTGAGTCTCTTTCTCCACTTCCTTTCTTTTGCTTTAAGAGAGATAATAAGTAAGAAACGATGGTTTGGTCCATAGGCTGAAAGTCCCAATTAATTTGAGGAGGGGGACGAGAAAGGGCAGTGAAAACCCACCAGAAAACCCCTAAACAAACCAACCTGCTGTCTTTTTCTCTCTTCTGCAAGCGCTTCAGCTTTTTCTTTCAAACTAATTTTATTCTTTATTTTTATATAGGCATATATATTAACAGCCTGTCTGTATAGGGATGTGTGTGTAGGTGTTGGCAGACACACGGAGTTTCCACTCGGCCTTAATGCCAAATTAAAGCTTTATAACTTCAGTAGCTCTTTTTACCAGGGTATTAATAACCACCTCAGACACTGTGGTGCAGTTTATTAATCATTTGTTCGCCCGGGGAAGCTCGTGAGGGTGACTCGTGCTGTGCCACAGCAGGATGGGCACAGGGCATGGCCACAGGCGGCTCCGGTGAAGCCGATGGCATCTGACCGGGAGGGGGACGAGAGGGGAGGAAGATGATCTGAGGGGGGGCTTTTTGTAAATTGGCCAAAGATGCATCATCTAAACTCGAGAGCCTAACTCAGGTGCTCGGTGATGGCTTGTTGCCGGGATGGGGATGCTGTGCTGGGGATGGTCCCCAGGTGGGTACCCACACTCAGCTCGGTCAGAGGTGATGTCTGCACCTCACCAGGCGATGGAGAGCCCTGCACCAGCCCCACTGCAGGAGCCCAACGCCCCACACATCACCCAGCTCTCCTGAAAGCAGCCACAGTGCTTGGTGCCGCGGAACGACGGAGCATGGGATGAAGGACATGGAACTACAAGTCGCAGCAAGGCCCCGGGAGGGGGTCCCCAGTGTGATGCCCAGACCCTGCTCTGCACCCCTCACCCCAGGTTTGGTTTCCCCAAAGCCCCCCAAAAGGTGTTTTCCCCCCCCATCGACGCTTCCCACTCCCGCAAGGGCAGAACTGTGCTGAGCTCCCCATCACTGCATGAGTTTGGGTCATCCTGATGGATCCCAGATCCACCACCAGATGCGGCCTCCCCTGGGTTGGAAACGCTCCCTCCATCCCCATCCCACCTCCTTGTGCCAACCCTCAATTCAGCCACGGTTTCTCCAAGGAGGCTTTGATGCTCCACGCCAACAGCGTGTTCATCTCCCTGGGAAATTGTCCTTGCTGTTGCTGTTCCTTTGCCTTATCAGCCTGACCAAGCCTTAAAAAAACTGTGTTTGTTTGTTTTCTGCTTCGGAAGCAACAATCACAAGATCTCCAGAGGGTGAGATGGCCTTGCCGAAACGCGGTCGGCCGGGTTTCCTCCAGCGCCGCGAGACAGAGCAAACTTTATTTGCCATCCCAGGCTTCTCCTAAAGCCTCTCAGGGGACTTATAATTTTGAAAGTGAAGGTTAAGATTATTCATGCATATTTTTTTCCTAAATGGATTACTCCAGTGCAACTGTCTGCAAAGGAAAAAAAAATGTATATAAAAATTTAAAAAAAAAAAAAAAAAAGTACAAACTCCTGAGCAGTTTGGCGACAGCAATACATCTCCGCACTGGAAGACTCGAGGTGTCTGAATATTTATACTCCCGTTGGCAGTTACAAAAAAACTCTTCTTCCCTCCTTCCTACACCCCCCCTCCCCTCCCCTTTTTAATCTCGGTACAGGCATGTTAGACGCCCTCAGTCAAAGATCTCCTTTGAACTGCTGTATGTTGAAATGTTTACAGTTTTACATTTCATATTTCAGAGGGGTGGAGGGGACAGGCACAACAGTCGCACACTGTGAATGCATGAGAGAGGGAGGAAAGGGGAGGCCAAGGGGGAGGAGGTTCGGCGGAGATGGGAGGGGAATCAAACAGCATCTCCACGCTGCAATTGGAAAATTTTAGACTCCTAAAAATATATATATATATAGAAAGTCATTCCTGGTGGTGTAGGCTCTGCAGGTGCATCCCCACTGAACCTGGCTCCTCGCACGGGATGGTGGCTCCATCCCCAGGTGGCTGCATGTCACCGGCTCATTTTACCCAGGGGTGACCATGGAGCTGGGCTGAGGCCGTGGTCCCACTCAGGACCCCGCACTGGGTGGGTGGCCAGGGCTGTGGGAGCACCAGGGGCTGCAAACCAGGGTCCCCCAGGAAGATGCTGCAGTTCCCTCCCGGCCCCGTTCCCCCAGCAGCATCCGAAGGGACATGAGGAAAAGGTGGCAATTCCTGCGACATGTCTCTGGTGATGGATCCAGGCACTCCCTGGTCCAAGAGGAAGGTGAAAATCTGCCAGCCCTTGGGCTCCAACCTTCCCAGGGCACAGGAGAAACCAATGCTGATGATGGACAAGGGCCATCGGAGACTGCTCCACAGAGACTGGGAGCTCAGGAGAGGCTCTTCTGCCTGGCAGGCTGCGAGATGGACCGACGGATGATGGGATGCGGGTGGCACTATCTGTCCAAAAACCAGGGACGCCATGGGGTAGGGCAGCAGCTTGGCACAGGGACAGACTTCATCCCAGCTGAGTGCGTGTCAGGAGCCTCCCAGGGGTTATTTGAATTTATATCATCACTTCTCCTCCTGAAAGCTTTCCTAGCCCTGAAGTGACCCAATAAACCCCGCAGACAGCCAGGTCCTCTGGCAGACACCCTCCAGGCCCGCCGGACAGCTCTGCTAAATCCTTCCTTCCCAACAGACTAAACTTTCCAGGGTAATTCAGCGCGAGAAATGAGCCAGCAAGCCCTACCCACGGTGTGATGTTATCACAGCACAACAAGCCCATCTGATGGGACAGGAGCCATCCCTGGCCAGTGACAGTCACCTGGCGAGGGCGGCTGTCCCCAGAAAGGGCAAAGGCTTTGGTAGGTGCGGAGGGGTGATGTATGACCCCATACTTGGGGCATCACCCCACCAATACTTGATGTTTTTCAGAAGCATCCTATTAAAACACGCCCCAGGTGGCTTCAAAGAGCTGGACGGTGCTGGTGCACGGAGTAAGACAGGCGATAGCGGGTTCCTAGGAAAGGCACATTTTCTATCTGCCACCAATGACGCCGGGTCCACAAGTTCAGCCTCATCCAAAAAGGAGCGGGTCCAGCCCTGCCCAGAGCCCTCGTGTCCCCGCAAGGGGCACCAACCTTCCTCCCTCTGCATCCGCCTCCCCCTCATCACCCTGTGAGACAGTGGCTTTGGGGATTAACTCTCCATCCCAAACGGACCCCCCAGGTCTGTTCGGTGCTTTGGCTGGGGGCCGGGAGGAACCAGCACCGTCCCGGGCGTACGGCAGGCGATTTACCCCCGCACAGGATTGAGCTCACCTCTCTCCACCCCCACTCCACCCCTCTCCTTCCCCGAAGGGATCTGTCAAGTCTCTGCACGATGGAATTTTACTTTGCTATTTTAATGCAATTCTGGCTCAGGCTTAAATGGAACTGGAAACCAAAAGGCCTTAATAAATAAATATTATGATAAGAAATGAAAGCAATGCATACACTCAAGATAATTTGAGGGGGGATAAAAACCTAAGCATTCCTTTCTAAGCCTAAAGCATAAAGCTTTACGTGAAGCTGGACGCCTTCTTACCAAACCTTTGCCCTGGAAAAGCTCCCCCGTGCTTGCCCAGACTGCCCTCCCAAAAAGTCGCCTATTGTTTTAAAAAACACTTTAAGCCCGATAAGACAATAGCCTTGAAATTCCTTCTAACTTTGCCGGTGACAGGGCTCGGGGCACCCATGCGCGTGGCTGAAATACGCCTATTACTAATGCCTACAAGAGTTCTTTAATTATATCCTGTGCTCCTATATTTCATTCACACTCTATTTAATCTCGCCCTCTGCATAAACAGGCAGCTACTACAATAGCAAGAGCCAAAGCTGGTTTTGATAAATCTTACATACTGTGAAGCGCTATGGAGAAAAAAAAAAAGAAAAGAAAAGCCAACAGATTGTATAGATAGTGGTGAATTAAGGAGAAAAAAACCCCTACGAGATCCAACAGGATCATGCACATAGGGCTGTGTGTGTTTGTGTGTGCGCGCGCACTCCCGAGCGTGTGTATAGAGCAAAATCCGAGCTAAATATAGAGGTGCTATAGAAAACCCAAGGTATAGATAGCCCATACATAAAGCTACATGTGTACGTCTGTGAAGGGGAAGCTCTGGCTCAACACGGGAGTGGTGAAAACAGAAAAGCCTGAAGCTGATAACGCTGGGACTTACCCCACTCTTTTCTAGAGATAGGGAAAGAGCTCCCGTGTTTTTCAGGCTTTGCTGTGTCCGACCCCCCCCCCTAAGTTTTCTGCAACCCCCACCCCAATAAGCACCCCCTTTGACATTCAACCCGTGCCTCTACACACAGCAACGCAGATGCAGGCTCCCAGCTCTGCCGTCCCTTCCCTCCACCCCAGCCCCAAACCAGCCCTCCTCGCCCGCTCCCAAACATCATCCAGGCACCCAAACCCAAAAACCAGAAAAGCCTCCCCCAAGCCCCTCCGAACAGCAACATTTTTCCCCTCTGATGGGGGCAGACTTATTTTCTGCCTCTGCACCCCCTGCCTTGAGATAGAGTCCAAACAAACAAACAAAAAAAAATAATAAAGTGCAAGAAATGCAACTCATTAAAGAGTTTACAAAAAAAAAAAGCCCAACCCCAATCAAAGGCAGCAGGCAAGAATATCTGTGAGCAACGTTTAAAATCCCCTCCACTATTTGTTGTTATTGCTGCTAATTTCTCCAGCCTGCACATAAAATCCCAGATCTAAAGAGGAGGTCCGGCTGCCCAACGCACACATCACACAGCAAACCTTCGAGCTGGGAAGATTTTTTCTCTTACCTTGACTGGCTTTATTTGCCAGCGTGTTTCCAGGGTGGTGGAGAAAGAAAAGGATGGAAAATCCAGCAATCTGCAAAGCTCCCATGGCAATCCCAGTCTGCATGGAGGAGTGGGGGCAAGAAGGGGGGATTTCTAGTGCTTTAAGGGAAACAAGAGGCTGAGCATGCGAAGGGAAATCAAGAGGAGGAAGGGGCTCTCTCCTTGCCGTGTGTGAGACAGAGGGAGGGAAGGGAACTGAACTGATGGAAAAAGCTGCTCTGGGTTCAGTTTGGGGCTCTTGGTGTTGCTAAAGAGGAGAGAGTGAGGGAAGGAGACCCAGGGCAGTTGGAGGAAAGTGGACTCTATCGCCCTCTCTCTGGCGGCTGCTCTGATCCCTTCTTTTCCTTCTTTTTTTTTTTTTTTTTTTTTTCTTTAAAAATCCCCACCCACTTCTTTTTTTTTTTTTTTTTTTTTTTTTTTTTTTTTTTTTTCCTTAAATAATCCCAGCCAATTCCAGTTTTGCAAGGGAGCGGGAGCAGCAGCAGCGCTGGAGGGGGGAAGCCGGCGCCTTGCCCTGGTGCTGGGGACCTGAGAAAGGGGAGTGGAAAGGAGAGCCCCATCCAAGCAACGCCCTTTTTTTCTTTTTTTTTTTTTCTTTCCTATATATTGCCAGTGTTTATAATGCTCATTTTTCTTTATAGATGCCCAACGTATTGCTGCCCACGCTCGCACTGCATCGACTAGCCTGTTCTACGC